GTCAGACGCTCGACGTATTTTGGCGAACTTTAAACTTTCTCCCGTACTAGGATTGTCAATGTCGCGCCTTTCGACGCGTCGTTCAATCATAAACCTCCTGCATGTGCGCAAGATAAAGTTTTTACCCTGATTGTGACGTGTCCCGCTAGAGGCTGAGCCGGTTCGCAGAGCGAGGTTAGTATTTATAAAATAAAAGAAAAAAATATAATCAAATTAAAAACTATAGAGAAGGTAACTGACCTCTATGGCCTTTGCCACCTTCTGCCATCCTGGTACTGATGAGGACTAAACGACCACCTCTCAGTGCAACGCAATAATGCGTGCCCCACACACTCTCTAATTTGTTTGCATTTGACTCGGACTTTCGCCAGGAGCGAGGTTGCAGAGGTGAGTGCCCTTACGGGATTTGCTCCATCAGCGCGTTATGTTGATCAACGACGCACCATGTGCGACCTTTAAAATTGACGGCAAATGCCTTTGTAAGGTTGTTTGCTACGACACTCGGCACCCAACTTGTGCCCGAATACACGCCTAGTTGCCCGGTCGGGCATGACCCCCGGGCAGGATTCCGGGCAGCCCCAACGCTCAGGGGACAAAAAAAAATAAAAAAAATCTAAAAATAAAAAACAAAATTTATATGTTGTGTAGAATCGCAATACAAACAAATTTTGGCTGAGGGTCATATCAAAATTCCTCTTTCAATCAGAGATAAAAAAAAAATAACAAAATTACACTAAGGGAACCCCCTTCAAACCCCCTTAGCCCCTTTAAAAACAATTTATACCCCCCTTCCCCCCCCTTGACAACCAACTCTCAAAAAATGAAAAAAAAACGGATATGGGGTCCTCTGGGAGAGCGCAAAAATTGCACGCCCGGGTGCCCGGCCAGACCCGGTTGGGCATGAAAATCTTCCTAGTCTCCCGCCCATTTTTTTAATTTTTTTTTAATAATCCATGTATTTGTTATAAACTCAAATAGGAGATCGGGAATCATCACAAACAACCTGGAGTGTGAACTCAGGTCATTACCCAACTTTTGTTGTGTCGGAAACCGGGTCCAACGTCCCCTATCTTCAATCTAATATAAAACTTCCAAATGAAATCTTGAAGCTGGGTAAAAAATTGGGGAATCCAACAGTTAAAATCATGTTCAAGTAAGTGGGCAAAGTCCATCGCGAAACCTTAAAACTAGCAATTTTTCATGACGGAATTTAACCACAAACGGTAGTCTCTTATCAGGGTTGTTTCCCCTACTATCATGTTGTACCACTCTTATCATACGAAGAGCAAACTTATCTCAACCAAAAAGACAGTTTAAGTTTGCTTTCTACATATAGTTTAGCAAAAACGCCTTTAATCCAAGTCTTGGTGAGCCACATGTGTTTTTTTCTTCGTCAGTCTGCGCATAGGGTAAGTCTGATCCCAACCTTGATCTAGTACTGCGTTTCAATCTTTGTTTTTCTTTTTCTTGTTTTTATTAAATTATTTGTTTACATGTAATGTATAGTAAATTAATGTTGATGAGAAACAAATGTATAAATGTATTGTATAAGTTGGCTTAGAATATGCTCATGTAAGAATTTCCCTAGATGTATCTGATGACAAATTTAATGCAGTAATATAGTCTTATGGACTAATACAATGATAGCACAAAAACTAATGGAGTTGATGTCTTGATTGCCCATAAGGGAACAATTTATTTGACTAAAGAAACATTTATTTGACTCGGGCATAACCTTTACTGAAGCCGAAAAGTTGGGTGCTATCTCAACCGAAGCCTTTAGTTGATGTTGACCAGTGGGCCCGGGGGGTTGTTCACCATTTGCGAACCCTTTTTTTTGTGGCATTTATAACCCCTGTAACACCTACCTTACCTCGTTCTTTATGCTTGTCGGTGTCATTTGAGGCCCACAACGTACATGCTCTGGAAACCATTTGCTCCATTCTTTCAGGCCACACTTTCTCAGGGTGCTAACATGCAACCTGCCTCCATCGCTAGCCTCGGAGACTACAGTCTTCCCCCGAACAAAACGCACGTATGTACTATTCAACTTTCACTGAAAAAAGTCGTCCCCCAAAATCTGAATAGTATGCACACTCAGGGTGTTTATTCGAATAATACGCAAGTATGTTCTACTCGAACGGATGGGTGTTGTGTTAGAATAATACGTCTCCTCTTTCTCTCTTCTTTTCTCTCCCGCACACACACACACACACACACACACACACACTAGCGCACGTGCGCGCTTGCAGAGCCGCGCTCGTTTTCAAGTGCCCTCGCTCCACCCGAGGGTGATGGCGATGGTGCTCCAAGACTGCATCACTGTCCGAATGGAATGCACAGGGTGGACTATTTGAATGGTATGTGCAGTCGGGGGCTCGGTCCACTGCTATGCACAATAGACAAAAAATGTGGCGATGCCGTAAGATTCTTTCACATTTTGCACATTTGGTGAGCGGTGGAGAGAGGGCGCCGGTGTAGGGCCCTTTCAGGTAAAGGTATCGGCATATACTCGATTTTTTTTGGGGGGGCCGTTTCCTAAGTTGGTGTCCGAAATCCATAGCATAACTAACGCACATGCCCTGTATACGAATACAATGCACCACCACCGTGCATTCTTAAAGCACATGCCCTGTATACGAATACAATGCACCACCACCGTGCATTCTTTATGCTAGGGATTTGTGGCACCAACTTAGGAGGGGCACCAACTTAGGAATGTATTCATATACAACGCACGTGCGTTTTGTTCGCGGGAAGACTGTAGAAGCACTAGAGCTGGGCGAAGGGGTCCGTCTGGCAGGGCTGAGCTGACGGTGGATGTGTTTCCGTCCTGAAGTGGGATGGCCAAATGTTACACCCCAAATAGATATTGGTGGGGAGGGTACCCCATACCGTGCACCCCCTTCTTCCGGCCCGAGAAGGGCAGTGAGGAGATGGGGTCGGACAAAGGAGTTCCGCGCCATCTTCGGAAACGAAAGTTTCTTATGAACGGACAAGAGGCAAACGGGTGATATCATTCACGGATTTTCTACTGGCTTTGTTTATCACGTGAGTCGACGTGTTCTTTTAGTCCTCCCGTCGCCCCCCTTCCCCAATCACATCAGTCCTCACCGTCGCCCCTTCCGTCACGAATTTTCTACTGGCTTTGTTTATCACGTGAGTAGACGTGTTCTTTAGTCCTCCCGTCGCCCCCTTTCCCCAATCACATCAGTCCTCACCGTCGCCCCTTCCGTCGCCCCTTCCCCAATCACAACATTTCGTCCGTTACCCCTGACCCTGTCACACTGGATTCCTCCTCCTTGGGCCTGGAGCCTCTCAACCACACCCAACCACACCCAACCACACCCAACCCAACCCAATCCAACCCAACCCACTGCGTTTCATCTCCTTGCTTCCATGGTATGCATGGTGGACGAGTAGTGCGGAGGCAGGAGCATGGTGGATGAGTAGTGCAGAGGAAGTCATTCTTCTGTTTTGCCGTTGTTAGGAGAGGAGAGGAGGAGGAGGAGGAGGAGAGGGGATCAGGAAGAAAGTGAATTGTTCGGTGGAGAATGATGGGATGAGCCTGCATCAGCCATGGCAGGGGGAGGCAGCAGCAGAAGAGAAGGTGGAGGAATGTTACCTGGGCATGAGAGGAAATCGGAAGGGACCGACGGCGGCAAGTGGGCCACCAATTAGATACGAGCTAACAATTTCCCGCGGATATTCTCTTTGCCTCTTTGGGCGTGCACACTTGTACTGTCTGGAGTGAATCTGGTCTTAATTCTGCTCAGGTACGACCAGAAAAGTTGGAGTGCGAGTGAGAGTGTGCTCTCCTTTGCTCTACGTTCCCGGTTCTGGGTTTTGTCTACACCCTCTTCGGATCGAGAGCTGACGACGAAAGAGCAGCAAGCGGCAAGGTTACTACCGTCTTCCCCCCGAACACAACGAAGGCTTATTTTGGCGGCATCTGGCCGGAAATATAGCTTGTATACATTCATTCTTAGGGTGCGTTATGTTCGGGGGAAGACGGTAGCAGCTGGTAGGTCTCCTGGCGAGGATTGGATTCCGGCTGCCATGAGGAATCGGAACCGACTGCGCAGAAAAGGTAGAGGAGGAGAATGGGAGGGGAAGGGGGAGGTGGAGGTGGAGGTGGAGGCGGCGGGAGTGGAGGAAGAAGGGGACAGAGCGATGGAGTGTGATGACAGCAGCATCAAGCGCGTGGCAAATTAGACGGCGGTCTGCTGTCGGTACTGAATCAGTCCTATATATATATATGTATTGTTTGTTTTTCCCAATCAGATGCAGTGCAAGAAGGTCCTCTTGCCTGCGCAATCCTTTTTCTTCGCTTGCTTGTTCATGTCGCCTAACGCTACGGGCGGCACTCCCCTTCCATTCTCCATTCTCCTTTTCTTACTTAATACTTTTTAATAGTATGACAAAGGACTACTGTAGGGGGAGGGAGAGAGGGCATCAACGAACCGCTTTGCGCGTTTTCAATTATAAAAATGCTGAGCGCATCTCGAGCCAAAAGAATGATCTCGAAAGATATATACGCGCCAGTCAGCTTTTGTCTTTTTGCCATTTCGCAATTCTGTGGAGCGAAGCATGAAGGAGAGTTGGCGGCGCCGTGATTGTTTTTTTTTTTTTTGTGCTTCGTTGACGACGAGTTTTTGAATAAGGGAGAAAATTTGCTAGGTCGGGTCGCTTTCGTGTCGGGATCGCATCGCCTGGTGTCGGGATCGCATCGACTCGTGTTTGAATAAGGGGCTTGTGGTGAAGAGAGGAGGAGGGAGAGGAGTTTTTTTGTCTTTTACGACGGTTTTTCTGAATAAGGGGCTGGTGGTGAAGAGAGAGGAGGAGGAGGTGCTCAATTGTTAAAAAAAAAAAAAAAAAAAAAAAGAGAGGAGGAGGAGGAGGGAGAGACGAGACATGTGCTCGCAGTCGCACATCACATCCTGTAGAAGCGGGTCGCTTTCGTGTCGGTATCGGATCGCCTCGTGTCGGGATCGCATCGGATCGTATCGCTATCGCGACTGAACGAGGTTGCTTTGACATCGGTCGGGTCGCTTTTCCGTCTGCCTGGTTATCGCGATTCTTGTTTTTTTTTTTTTTTTTTTTTTTCCTTCCTTCTCTCTTTTGTCGGTCGACGACATAGCTCCCTCCACATTCTGTTCGTGGTGGTGATTATTAGGACGTTCTGGTCATCACCACCGATCGTTTTGTGGGCTGCTGCTGCCACGCTGTGTTCGATTGCCACGTGTCAAGATGTCGTCTTCGAAGAAGGAAGCGATGCAGGAAGCCGCCGCCAAAGCGGCGCAGAAGCTGAAGGCGGCGGCTATGGCCACGAAGGCGGTGAGGCCACCAACTCATCAGCAGCGGATCGCCGCCGCCCAGGCGCGTAATGTGAACGCCTATGGGCAGAAGGAAGAGGGTCCGAGTCGGTGGCAAGAGAGGAAGGAAGCGAAGCGCCAGATGTACCTGATGAGTACGGAGCGCGCGGTAAAACTGGGGGTGAGGAAGATGGACACAAAGGTATCTGGCGATGGCACCCAACAATGCCAGAAGTGTTTCAAGATCGGACACTGGACGTACGAGTGCACTAATCCACGTGTCTACATCTCACGGCCTTCAAGGACGATGCAGCTGAAGAATGCAAAGCTGCGACCGGTCCTCGTTGAGCCTATGGAGGAAGCAGAGGGAAGGAAGTCGGACGCTTCCGCCGCCGCCGCTGCTGCTGCTGGCGCTGGATCTGGGGATAGGCGAATGACAAGTAGGGATGATGACAGTGATGATGATGATAATGATTCTGGTAGTGGTGAGGAAATGGAGACTAGGAGAGATCGAAAGAGGAAGAAGAGGAGGAAGGAGAAGAAGGAAAGGAAGCTAGGGTTGAAAAAAAAAGGCGGGAAAAGTGATCGGAAAAGGCGGGAAAAGAAGGATTCGAAGAAGGAGAAGAAGAAGAAGAAGAAGAAGAAGAAGAAGAGGCGTGGAAGGGGGAGTGATTCAGACGACAGCGATTTGTCTTTTTCTGCCTCCAGCGACAGCTTCTCTTCATCGAGTCTATCTACAAGCGAGGCGACTTCCTCTTCCTTCAGCGATGATGATGATTCAACTGCCGGTAGTTTTACGTCTGAGAGTGATTCCAGCAGCAGTGGTCGTTCTCGCGGTCGTCGTCGTCCTCGTCGTGGTAAGAAAAGGAGCAGCAGCAGCAGCAGCAGCCTCAGCAGCTCCAGTGATGACGATGACGATGATGATGACGATAACTCGAGTAGAAGTCGACAATTGCGTAGGCGTAGGACGAGGGGATCACGCAAACGGGAGAGAGGTATCAGTAGTAGTCGGAAGAAGAAGGAACGTAGTACTACTAGTAGTCGACGGGGTAAAGATGACGATGACAGCTATAAGAGGAAAACTAGGGGGAGAAAGAGAGCTAGGAGAAGTAGGGATTCTTCCTCTTATAGCAGTAGCGAGGATCTTAGTGCAGATAGCCGCGAAGATAGAGATAGAGATAGAGATAATAGTGATACTCTCTCGGGTTCTGAATCGGAAGCGACTACGACGACGAGTGAGGAGAGGAGGAGAAAAGGGTCCAGAAAGCCGGGCAGATACGATGGACGAAGAAGATCAAGGAGTCGGAGTTCGTCTCGCAAGAAGAAGCAGCGGAAGAGTGATGATGGTGACGATGGACAGAAGGGAAGGAGTGGAAGGGGAAGGCTCGGTGGTCCACCTGGTGGCAGTGAGAGGCAATCGGACGGAGGAAATGTGGAGGAATGTGAGAGGAGAGGGGGGGGTAATCGAAGAGCAGGAAGCAGAGAGAGAGTGGGGAAGGTTAGCAGCCATGGTGGAGTCACAAAGAGGGAGGCAGAGGAGAGAGAGAAGGAGAAAGAGAGAGAGAAGGGGAAAGAGAGAGAGAAGGGGAGTGTCGGTGGGGAAGGTGGTAGAGATACGGTGAGGGAGGGGAAACGCATCACTTCGGGGTCTTTCTCGAGCGATGAGGATGATGAGGAGGAGGATGACGATGGAGATGGCGACGATGATAAGGAGCGCGAGCAGGGGAAGGAGAAAAAGAATGGAAGCGGCGGGAGTGAGAGCGAGAGCGGAAGTGGGAGCGAGGACGATAGCAAGCAGTCCCAGTCGCCCAGAGGGTTTGTGACCAGGGTTATAAAGTCAGACAGGGAGGGGCGAAGACGGTGATAAACACAAAACCCTAAACCGAGAGGACTGGAAGTGGCGATTATCGAATATGACAGGAAGGGCGGTGTCGTGGTAATGTGCAGCAGTACTTTTTTTTTTTTTTTTTTGGTTATTTTGAGAGGGCACTACCAGCAGCTGCGGTTTGGAGTGAGAGTGGCCTACAAGGGTGTATGTGACTGTGTAAAGGTGGTCGGAAAAGAGAGAGAGAGAGAGAGAGAGAGAGAGAGAGAGAGAGAGAGAGAGAGAGAGAGGTCGTATACTGCCTTCAGGTAGAGAGATGTCCCGCTGCATCCTACTACTTCCCCTCTCCTGTCTCCTTGTACGCGCTCAACTTCGTTGTGTGTGTGTGTGTGTGTGTGTGTGTGCGTGTGTGTGTGTGTGTGTGTGTGTGTGTGAGAGAGAGAGAGAGAGAGAGAGAGAGAGAGAGAGAGAGAGATGTCCCGCTGCATCCGGGTCCGGCATATCTTCCTGCTACTCCTACTACTTCCCCTCTCCTTTCTCTTCTCTTCTCAACTTCCAAGTGTCTCTGTTAGTACCGCTCCTAGTAGCGACACTTGGAATTTCTTCTCCTCCTCTTTTTCTCTTTCTCCTTTCGTCTCCTATTCCTTCTCGGAGCGACGCTTGCAATTTCTTCCCCTCTTCCTTCTCTTCTCGGAGCGACACTTGCAAGTGTTTGGCTGCCTTTCCTAGGCTTGCATGGCATATATAGGTGATTAGCAAAGGCGATGAAGACGTCCAGGGCAGCAGCTTGTCCAGAGTCTCTTCCGGTTCTTTCATGGTTTCTGTTATTACAAAGCCTCTCCTCTTTCTTCTCTTTTTCTTCCCTTCCTGTTCCTCTTTTTTCGACTTGTCTGCGATGAGCCTTTTCAATTCACAGTACAATACAACTTTGAGAGGATGCAGTACTTTGGCGGAATGTTATGATCCTGGGAATCTTACAGTGCAAAAGTGAAAAAGAGACTAAGTCTTTCAATTGCAACTGAAATGAAAGAGATTGAAAGAGAAATAGACAAGGGACGAAGCATAATGGAGAATGCAAGAAGAAGAAGAAGAAGAAGAAGAAGACAAGCTGGAATCAATGTAGAAGAAGAAGAAGAAGAAGAAGAAGAAGAAGAAGAAGAAAAGCTGGAATCAATGTAGAAGGAGGAGAAGAAGAAGAAGAAGAAGAAGAAGAAAATCTGGAATCAATGTCTCTACTCCTTCGACTTGCCGTCATCTTTCCCCCCCGTCATCTCCCTCAACATCTCTTTATATTTTTTTCTAATATTAATAATAAGTGGACCCGCCGCAGCGAAGGACGATGACAAAAACATTTTACGAAACACAGAAGCCATCGGTTGGATACCATCTTTGCAATGTACCCCTACCGGACGCTGAACGACTTTGCAAAATGGCCCGGCAGTTGCCAACTTTTCGTAACTGCAATTGCAAAAGGCAAAGTGAATTTGCACACCCGCCTGACAGGGGCATAAGACAAACATGTCAGCCCAAAAGGCCATTCTACTGTGTCCATATCTTCTAGGGACAGTTTGACATATATCTCAACTTATGGGGTCATTTGGCAAGTTACCCCCCCCGCCCCCACCCCCCAAAAAAAAAGGAGACTCTCTCTCTCTGTCTCTCTCTCTCTCACCTCCTCCTCCTTGTGCGACCTTGCAGCCTCCTCTCGCGGCCTCCTTCTCCGGCTCGCACGAACTCCTCCCCCTTAGCACGACCCAGACACACACACACACACACACACACACACACACACACACACACACACACAGAGAGAGAGAGAGAGAGATTTCCATCGAACAGGCAAGTCTCCAACCCCGCGGCTGGCCTCACGCTACTTCCATCGACAGGATGAGCAAAATCGAATGAATCCTCCGCTAGAACTTTGAAATATACACTACTTCCCTGTTGGCCAGTGCGTTGCTCATCCTATCGATGGAAAACTCTCTCTCTCTCTCTCTCTCTCTCTCTCTCTCTCTCTCACACACACACACACACACACACACACACACACACACACACACACACACACACACAAGTGTTGCATTGTATATTTCTATGTTCTAGCAGAAGATTCATTCGATTTTGCTCATCCTATCGATGGAAGTACAGTGAGGCCATACCTGTTGGCGGGTGCGTTGCTCATCCTTCCGATGGAAAACTCTCTCTCGCTCTCTTTCACACACACACACACACACATTGCAAGGTTGGTGTTAGTAAAGTCGACCACTTTTCTCAGGGGTATCGCTAAATCTGGGCGATGTGGTGAGTCCTTGTCCATCAGTCAAATGCATCCTGGGCAGACTCTCGGGGTTCAACCTCCTGATGAGTCGGTGAAAGTCCGACGAAACAGTCTGGTACAGTCATGCTTTTTTTGAGTGTATAGTGAATATGACAACACACACACACACACACACACACACACACACACACAGTACAATCGTAATCAACGGCTCGATAGACTGCCCTCCCCCCTCGTACCCCCACGCCCATGCTTTCCGCCCCGCCCCGACTTTTCCAGTCCTCGCTCACCGAGTTCCGCCCCGACTTTTCCAGGCCTTGCGCTCCGCCTCGAGGCCTGCCCCGACTTTTCCAGGCCTTGCGCTCCGAGCTCCGCCTCGACTTTTCCAGGCCTCGTGTGCCCCGCCACCGCCTTCCCACCGCGCGGACCGTCGGCCCGCCTCGCACTGTTTCGCATCCTCGCTTCGCTCCGTCCCTGCCGCTCCGTCAGCGCCAGTCCCTTCCTGGGACCGTGGCTTTTCGCCTCGCCGCACCCGACGGCCTCCTCCGGTTCTGCCCGTCCCGCGATTTTCCGTGGGCCCATGACTGCATGTGATGGCGGGACCAGAGCCAATGTCCGAATCTCCCCCTTACTGCCGGCATCACAAGAAGTCGCGTCTGACTGATCTCCTACACCTTCAATCACTACTTGGTTGAGCATCCAGCTGTGGCGGCAGCATCCAGGCCTAGCCCGGACGTTCAAAGGACAATGCAAAGCTCTAATAGCCGTGCCACTTCCACCACCCAGCCTATGTCTTCCATCCAACAGAGTCTTCCTCACTTCGTTACCCCGTCCACCATAGCCTTCCATGTGCAGCGCTAACCAAGGAGATGAAGATGCAGTCCACCATAGCCAAGGTAAGCTTCCTCCTTCACTGTCCTCCTCCTCCTTCGTCCTTCCTTCTTCCTCACTTCTCTGCCATAGCTATGTCTTTCGTCCTCCCTTACCCTGGTGTTTTTCAGCACAGCCATGGAGGGAGGCTGCTCTTCCAAGCTGCCGGTGCTCAGTGCCGCACTTGGTGGGGTCAATGCACCTGCAGCCTAGGGGGTTGCCTTGCGAAGAATGGAGGAGGAGGCAAAGTCCAGCGCTGCTGCCTCTACTACTGATATACTCGGCGGCGGTGACTTCCAGCAACTCGGGCCTCTTAGGCCTACCAGTTCCCTTGCCGATTTTGGCGGGAACATCATTGCAGTCTGATATTTACCTGCAGACCTAGGACCTTCCTATCGGATTTTTCCGGCCCGGTACCTTATCGAAGTTACCCCGGGACCTACCGGACCCTAGGGGGATATCGTGGCCTACAAAGGTGCTACCTTTTAGTCTTTTCTGCCTACCTGCTTGATGCTACTTGATTTCGGTTTCCCTAGGCCTTCTTCCCTGGAATACAACATACGGTCATTATAGCCGTATGTGGGGTATCTTTCAGTCTAAATACAGCCATAATGACAGTACGTTGTATTCGGGGGAAGAAGGTAGGCCTTCTTCTTATCCCTACCTACCCGCTGCACAGGTTGACAGCATGGGAACAGAGGTGAGAGCTGGGCCCGAGGGTCCATTCCAGCACACAGACCATCATCATCATCATCAGGTCACACGCACATCTCAAGTGTGCTTCATTGTCTGCAATGGAGGGAAAGCTGCACGGACTTTGGATCTATTCACTCTGGGTGGAAGAGGGGCTGTTGTGGTCGAAGTCAACAACACACACGATTTCTCAGACAGGCGGGGGTAAGCACACAGGACATAGATATCAGCAAGAACACGGAATTAGACTGCAGACATCTGAGCAACATCAGCAAGCACACAGAATTAGACTGCAGACATCTCAGCAGCACACAGAACTATGGCAAAAACTCAGAAAAATGCAGAGGTTCGACGATTTTGCAGGTTATTGCAGGAACGAAAAAAGAAATGGAATTGAAAAAGAAAGCAAATGGAGTTGGACTAGGAAAGAAGAACAATCATTCAAGAAAGAAGAAGAAGAAGAAGAAGAAGAAGAGGGGAAACACATTGTATTGAGCTAAGGACGTCTTGTCGCCCTCGTGCCATCGTTGTCTTTGTTGCATAATCGCCTTCCCCTTTTATGAAAAATATGAATACAGTAATGAATGAATGAACAAGACTTGATGTCCAAATGATCTCCCTTGCTGCGAGCACTCAAAGAGCTCTCGTTTAGCTTGCGTTTGTTTATCACTCGGTTAGCTCGCTCTCTTGCTCCTCTCCTCGAGGGGTTTGCATATCTGGCTATGGTGGACATGCGGCTCATGCATGCCCGGCACGGATTTATTCAAAGGACAATACTCCCATACTGTTGTGCCTCATCGATCTCATGCCGCGCCATAGCCACGCTCCCGCATGCAGTCCATACGCAACTGTGGGTACCGCAGGAGGGGACTTCCAGAGGCAGTGCCAACCACGATGGCGGATGAAGGTCCACCCTTGTAAAGGTAAGTCTCTCTAGTTGGTTCCCTCCTCCTCCCCTCTCCTCTACCTTTACTCATCTTCTGCCAGCCTTCATAACCTAACTTGAGGTTCTTCTCACTCTCTACCTCCATAGCCTAGGCCTCTCGCCCTCCAGTACCTTTTAACCGCGCACTCTCAGCCTCTACACTGGATCTACCGGAACATCAGTCCAGCCTGCAGTCCTCCCACACGGCCTGAAACTAACCTGATATCTACCTACATTGCCTGGAC